CGGATGTTCTGACCTCTTCGCTCCAGTTTGACCCGCGGCTGCAGCAGCGCCTCCAGCTGCCTCCTCTGCCGCTCCACCTGCAGCCTGAAGCCCGCAGCCTCCTCCTCGTACCCGGACACGGTTCTCTCCACCACCGCCAAGATCTCCCGGGCGGCGGTGCTCAGCTTCTCGGTGATGATTCCTCTCAGGATGTCGCTCTTCGACATGTCCCCGGAGCTTCTGCTCGTCCACATGTCGTCACGTCTGTTTACGGTTCGATCGCCGTGAGGAGACTTGTTCCAGGTTTTGGTGCAGCCGCAAAACCCGTCCGACTGGAAACCACCAGGAGCGCATCAGTTCCACGTTGTTGATAAAAACTCTGGCAGGAACGTTTAAATAAAATCCATCACACATTTGATTTTTAATTGATTTTTTTATTTTTTTTAAATTTACATATAAAAAAAAACGGGTTTAATCCAACACAGCTGAGAAACGTCAGAGCATCTTCACTTACTAATTAAAAACCAAGAAAACTTTTAAGAAAACCAGGTTTCAATAAACTGGAAGTTTTAATCTGGTTTAGGTCGTTAGTTAAAAAACCAGTCGATCACATTCATCACAGTTTAACAGCACTTTCTGCTCCGTGCTCCTGAACGAGCACTTCATTAGGAACACCTTCATTTCTGAGTCAATAAAACATCAACAGAAACTCACCAATGTTTTTTTCAAACACTTAACATAAGCTTCGTGGAACGTCAAAGTTAAAGATACTTTCCTGCTGTAGACAAAATATAAATCATTTTTTAAGTTTGAATTTCAAACACTAGGAGCTTGTGCACAAGAAACCTTCTTTTACTTATTTTTATTCCACACGCTGACGTCAGAATCGGTGTAATCTGATAATCTGAATGTACAAAAAAAACAAATAAACTGTTCAATCTTTCATTTTGTCACCTCATGAAAGTTCTCTTAAAAGCCAGCGATTTGATCACGTAGGCAACATATGTTGTTTGATTTACAGCAAGAGTGGATTCATCCTCTGCAGAATATAGTCCCAGATCAATTCCATAATATATAAACTAAATATTTGTGGATTATTTCTGGTGTTTTCTTCCCTAATAAAAAAACTGGTCTAACATCACAACTTCAGTTTAACAGTTCAAAAATAAATGCTTGAGCTTGAGGCTTTTTTGTAGATTCGCTGACAATAAGAAAAATACAGAACACGTCGACATTTACGCAGCATCGAGCATCACAGAACACATTTCTGAACAAACTTTGTTCAAACTGACAAAAACTGAGAAGTTGCGACACTTTCAGCTTCTCGGATAGCAGCAGTTAAAGTTCTGATGAACAGTTGTGTGGCCGAGCTGCAGACGGTGGATTTATAACGTGCGGATCTTGATGGAAGTCATCAGCTTCGACTTGGACGAGAACTCTCTGCTGCGTTTGCCGCCGGTGCTGTGGTTCTTCACGTGTGCCCGCAGCTTCCAGGACGTGTGGAACTTTTTGCTGCAGATTTCGCAGACGTGTGATTGCGCTCTCGCTGCCAAGCTGCTCGAGTGAGTGCACATGTGCTGGGATAAAGTTGCGAAGCAGCGGTAAGACTTCGCACACACGTTGCAGCTGTACGGTTTCTTGTCCGAGTGCGTCAAACGGTGAAGTTTGAGCTGACACTTTGAGGAAAAGGATTTTTGACAAACATCACACACGTGCGACGTCTTGACGGCGTGGATCATCATGTGAGCGTTCAGCATAGAGAACTCAATGAACAATTTGTGGCAGATCTTACATTTGTACGACTTCTCTCCGTTGTGTCGTGCGATGTGTCCCTTCAGGCCGTTGGTGGAGAGGAACAACTTTCCACAGATGTGACAGTCGTGAGTCTTCTGGTGACTCTCAAGGTGTTGCCTCAGCTCCTCTGCAGACTCTGAACGTTCTCCACAAACTCCACAGAGCTGCGCCGGATTGTCCACGTGACTCCAGGCGTGTTTGATCACAAAGCGCACTGACCGATGCACAGCTCCACAGACTTTACAGGACGGAAGAACCTTACCGTCGGAAGTTAACGCCCATGGAAACGATGCCGGTGGAGAAGGCAGGCTCCTCTTTGTTTTGGCATCTGATCGTTTGGCTCGTCGCTTCAGTGTCTCCCGTAATTCTTTATTCCTCAGACTCTTCTCACTTCTGTCTCGTTTCTCAATCGTCTCGTCTTCTTCCCTCTCGCTCTCAGAAACGAGCAGAGACCAATGACCCAGCGGCTCGTTATCGCTTTCACTTGTTTTAATGTCCTCGTCTTCTTGTCCTTGTGAGGTTGAGCTGCTGGACCGAATGTCCTCTCTGCTGCCAGGACACAAAGAAGAGAGTTAGGACACTGTGAAGAAGTGAGAGCCTTACAGACTCAATGTTCATCATGACTCACCCGAGTCTGGTTTCATCAGCAGCGTCCACTCCTCCCTGCAGGCGACAAATCATTTCCTTGCTGGATTGAGCTTCTTCTGGAGCCTGAGTTTAGAGAAAATGTCTTAGTTTAAAACACAGACACAAGAAAAGACTGAAAAATATAAATCCTGGACGTCCAATCAAACTTGTTCTCTTCGTGTCATCTAAACACGAAGAGAACAAGTCAATAAACATGCTTCACACACGGAGCTGAACTCGGTACTTTAGAGAAACAGACTGTAAATGAAGATGGATGACAAGGTCCCGCCCATACACATGCTCGACCAATCCTGAGTCAGTCTCAGCTGTCAATCTTAACGTCTTAGTCCATTTTTATATCATCAGATAACTCATTAAAACAAACTGATCACATGACTGCTGTGTTTTTGTTTACAGCACAACGACACTGGCTCTTTACTGACTTCATGACTCAAACTGAATGTTTTCACCTTTAGTCGGATGTAAAGAGATGAACGGCCACAACTCCTGCTGCTCCTGAGGATCTCCTCTGGCGTCAGAGTCTCGACAATCAGAGGATGAAGTTTCTTCTTTATACTGGACGTAAAGATGTCAAACGGTCTATCTCCTGCCAGCTGAGGGAATGTGGACCTGAGCAGCTGCAGGAAGTCCGTCTCCTGGAGACCATGAGGACACTGCAGCTGTAGTGGGGACGTCTGAAATACTGAAGGGAAACAAAGGAGGGTCTTCACAGTTACAACGTTCCTGGTTCATCATGTTGATATTGACATGTGGGAATAAACTTACTGTAATGTCGTCCTCTGTCTCACACTGGCAAAATGTTTGATCTTATTCTTTACATTGTACCTTTACATCACATAGAACAGAAGAATTAAAAGTACCTTCATTTGAGAGCTTCATGGTCTCAGGGTCCTCCAGGATTCGCAGCTTGAGATTGATGGGGTTCAATGTTTCCTTGATCTGAGGCATCGAGCTGTCAGACTGAACTCTGGGCAACAACAACCAAAGCAAAAGAGGTTAGAGGCAGAGTCAAGAAGAAATAAACTTAGCAGTCTGTACTGTTTTGTTCTTGTGAATAATTTCTTGTGTTCGGGGACCGTTCAGAGGATTACTATCGTTAAAAGCAGGACGTACCCTGAGTGACAGGACGGAGAGTCGGCAGCTGCATCTTCTCTCTGTGACGGACGAAACTCTTGATTCTGAAACACCAAAAGAAACTCAGTAAAAATGGCAAACATATCAAATGATCGGACACGTCGTGAGTTCCTAACCGAGACAAACTGCTGCACCTTTATTCGGATGTAGAGGGCGGAGTTTCCGTTGGACTTGATGCTCCTGTCGATCTCCTCCGGCGTCAGCGTCTGGACCTTCAGTGGGAGCAGCTTCCTGCTCCTGTCGGTGGTGAAGAAATCAAAGTCGGCCACCAGCTGAGGAAAAGTGGACCTGAGCAGCTGCAGGAAGTCCGTCTCCTGGAGACCACGAGGACACTGCAGCTGACGTAGAGGGTACTTCCGATACACTGGAACACGCAGGAGAACAATCAGGTAAAAATGTCTGAGCTACATGAACAAAAGGCTTTAATCTTATCAGCTGAACTTTTCACATTAAAACTGCAAAGAGCTTCTCAGAGTTGTGCTTTGGATGAGGAGGGAAGACCTCAGTACATTTTGTTGTGGACTTGAATCAATGGGCGGGTTCAGGAATCCTTTCTCTTTCTTTAACCCATTTAGACCTGATGTAACGTGTGTTCCTTTAGGACCAGGGGTTTACGTGCTGAACACGTGACGTCAGGTCAATCTCTGGAAACATTCAATGCTTCTCTCTGGACGTCTGAGGTGATTTAAACTCACCTTTACGAGAGAGGACGTTTATCCCCGAGTCCCCCAGGATGCGGATTCTGAGATCCACGTGGTTCTGTGCTTCACTAAACTCCGTGATTGGTTCCTCGTCCTTTGTGGGCGTCGATGAAGCTCGCTCAGGTGACTCCTCCTCCTCGGTGTATTCTCCGGTGAAGCAGGGGAGACTCATTCCTCCGTCCGCCTCCGCACCTTAACACAAACATTTATCTGTGACTTTACATTTTTCATTCATATACAACAATGTAAATCTGTCAGATATTAAGACCAACGTGTTAAAAAGCAGGTTGAAGAGTAAAGCTGAAGATCAGTTAAAAAGACTTAAAGTTATTAAAACCAGAGTTTATCTTGAAACAGAGTTTAGTAGATTTGTTACAGCAGCAGCTACTCTGGTTCAGGAAGCAGAGGATCGTGGGTAATATCCAGCGTTCAGTTGTGTTTCGGTTCAGTGGTAACACACAGTCAGAGCTCAGCACATCGATAGACTTTGTTTCTCTACATTAAAACCACTTCATCACTTGGACAGGGAGCGCAACAGAATGAATCGCCACACGGGCCTGTAGAGGGCGCTGTTGTCCAAAAACAGTTACACGGTGTTGATTTCAATTCAAGTGTCCGGTCGCTCCGAGACGTACTCAGCTCATATTTGTGCTGCTGCTCCTTCTCTTGAACAGGTTCTCCACTTCCTGACAGCTCCTCCTCCGGTGGCGGCTCGGAGATGGGAAACAGCTGCTGGGCATCTGCATCAGAGGAAACAGTTTATATAGTCATCGGGTATCAACCGTCGCTCTCTGGACCGCCCACTCCGGACATTTCTGTATCTGCATTTCTCTGCAGCGTTTTGTGCGTATAAATACAGAAATTATATATATTTACAACCTCAGACTGTTCTATCATAATTATTTCAATGATCATCCACAGAGATACAAATTATTTCACCGGTGAAACGAAGCGTCTGTGTAATTTCTCTTGTATATTCGGATCCTGGTGATTTAAAGGTCCACTGAGTAAGATTTGGGTGAAAAGAATCTATTGACATTAAATAAAATAATCTGTGATGTTTTCATTCGTGTGTTTAATCTAAATTAAAGTTTCCTCTAACACAGAACTTTATATTTAAATACTTGATATTTACACCAGGAGCCTCTCTACTGAGGCAGCCATGTTGGTTTTTTACAGTAACACAAACACAGTTTGAGTTTCATGACACCTGAAGCGTCCACAGGTTCTCCTTCATGTTTGGAAGTGGAGGGCGAGGTGAGGGGTGTTCAGCTGCAACAGGACGCTTCACCACTAGATGTCACTACATCCCACACACTGGCCCTTTAACACTTCAACTCAACAGGAACGTGAAGTGACCGCGTTTGAAAACGTTCGGTGTTGGACGTGAGGTTAAAGTTGTTTCGTGTCGGACACCGACCTCTTCGCTCCAGTTTGACCCGCGGCTGCAGCAGCGCCTCCAGCTGCCTCCTCTGCCGCTCCACCTGCAGCCTGAAGCCCGCGGCCTCCTCC